TACGTAATATTACGGCTTTTTTACGGTTCGTAAATTATTACGAAATATTACGGTCTTATAAATTTGCTGATGTAATACAAAAAGAGATATTTAGAAGACAAATTATTACTTCAAAATATAGAAATTCTTTGACATAAATAAATCGCCAGATTAGAACTGAAGAAATAGTAGATGATTAGGAAAAAAAAGAGCATTATTTGCTTATCATTTGAAACTAGCCAATATAAACTTTGAGACAAAAAATGTAAAATGCTAATTATAGCAAATATTACAAATAAAACAGGTTAAAAAAATGAAATGCCTAGTTGTTAATCATCATAGTGATGATATCAAAAATAAAAGAGAAAATATTAGTAAATATGCTTAGCCTAGTCTTGGTGAATCAATATTTATTATTAAAAAAAAACTTCATTTGCTATTAAATATAAATATAACAAGTAGAATATGCTATACTATAGTATGAGCTTATATTTGCTTTCAAAAAAAAGATGAAGTGTCTTGTTTATTGTTATGCTGTATATGTAGTGCTATATCATAACATGAGCCTATGTCTTCTACACTAAAAAAAAGTAAAATACAAAGTTATACAAAAAAATATGCCATAAGCTCAGGCTTGCTAAAAAAAATAATAAATAAAAAGGAAAGAAGCATCTTACTTGTTGTTATGGTATATGTAACAAGTAAAATATGCCACACTATAATATGAGCTCATGTTTGCTTAGTTATATAATTATCAATTCTAACTTTTGTCTTTATACTATATGAAAAGAATTGAAATGCAAACTACAGAAAAATTTACTTATAGCTTTTTTTTAAGACCTGTATAATGAATTAAATAGAAACTTGATAACTTGCTGTACTTTTACATTATGTCTTTAACTTAAAAAAAAAAAAAAAGAGAAAAAGAAGCACCAGTTTGCTGTCATGTGTATATGTAGCAAGCAAAATACACTGCATAACAGCATGGGCCTGTGTTTGCTATTTTAAGGGAAGAGGTAACACTATCTAACATATATATAGCAAATAGAATGTGCCATCTCATTAGCATAGGCTTGTACATGCTGCTTTAAGAAAAAAGAAAATATCTTATTCATTATCATATGTATAGGCAACAAGTAAAATGCATCACACCATAGTGTGGGCTCATACTTGCTACCTTAAAAAAAGAGATTGCATTGTATCATACCATAAAACCATATTTTTATCCCTTACTTAAATTTGGTCTAAAATTTATATAAGATTAAATAGAATTGAAAAAAAAATAGAAAAAAAAATAGAAAAGAGAATTATGAGAGAAATAGAAATAAAGCAAATGAATAAATTGTAGATGAGTATGTATTTGTAGGTTTGGTCAAATGAGGAGAGAGACAAGAAGTAGATGGAATGGAAGAAGTAGAGATGCAGAAGAAAGGACCAGAAGAAGCTGTAGAAGTGAAAAAGACAAAAAAACAAAAGAAGTAAAAGAAATCAATGAAGTGGAAGAGACAGAAAGAATGGAAGAAGCTGAAGAACCAAAAAAACTGAAGAAGCAAAAGAAGCTGGCAGAGTGTAAGAGACTTAAAGAATAGAAGAAGCCAAAAAGATGGAAGAAGCTGAAGAAGAATATGAAGTTGAAAAGCAGTAGGAAGCAGAAGGTGTGAAAAGAGGTAAAGATTATGTGGAGTCTTTTGTTAGGGTTTAGGGTGCACTATCATAATGCGTTATGTATATACCAAGTTTCGATCCTCTTTTGTCTTCATCATGTGACTAGCACATGAAGCCTGATCAATTTGTAATGCAAAACAATCATTTTTGATATACATGTACCTACTGGTAAAAATAAAATTTTTAAAAACTTTGAGCAAAGATATCCCGACAACTACCAGCTTGAATCGAATAAACTCTCTAAATTTGAATTAAATAGATCTTTAGAATTTAAATAAAAAAAAATTCATCAAATTTAGCCATGTGGTTGTCGAGAACGCCTATCAAAATAGAAGCCGCGCCAATTTTCTCTCTAACTTTGAGCGAAGATATCTCAATAACTATCTGACCAGATTCGATAAACCTTTTTTTTAAAAAATCTATGGATTAATAGAATTCAAATAAAAAAATTAGTCGAATTTAGTCAAGTGGCTATCGAGATAACGTTGCTCAAAGTTTGAGAACAATAAAACACCTATCAAAATAGAAAATTTCTCTCTAACCTTGAGCAAAAATACCTTAATAATGATCTGTCCAAATTCGATAAAACTTTTTTTATTTAAATCCTACGGAATCATAGAATTCAAATAAAAAAATTTCATCGCATTTAGTCAAGTGGATGTCGATATATCTTCACTCAAAGTTAGAAAGGAAATTTGCGTAGATATCATTTTTATTTTTTCTTTGAGCAAAGATATCTCGACAAGCACTTGATTAAATTCGATGAAATTTTTTTATTTGAATTATATGAATGCATAGAATTCAAATAAAAAAAGTTTTATCGAATTTGGACAGACCATTATTGAGGTATCTTCGCTCAAAGTTAGAGAATTTTTCTATTTTGGTAGGTGTTTTATTATTCTCTAATTTTGAGCGAAGATACCTCGATAGCCACTTGACTAAATTCGATTAAAATTTTTTATTTGAATTCTATGAATCCATAGGATTCAAATAAAAAAGGTTTTATCGAATTTGGTAAGATAGTTATCGAGATATCTTCGCTCAAAGTTAGAGAAATTTGGCGAGCTTCTATTTTGACAGGCGTTTTGATTTTGAGCGAAGTTACCTCGACAACCACATGGCTAAATTTGATGTATTTTTTTTTATTTGAATTCTATGAATCCATTGAATTCAAATCTAAAAGGTTTTATCAGATTCAAGCAGGTAGTTATCGAGATATCTTCGCTCAAAGTTTTTAAAATCTTTATTTTTACCGGGATCTGCATGTCGATCTGAATCAAAAAAGTAGGAACAGGTGTATCAAAAATGAAAGTTTTGAATTGTAACTATGTTTTGATCTGAGTGAGAATAATATGTTATGCTAATAGTCGTGCATGGTCTACTCGTGCACCATCTGCATTTGAGCAATAAACAAAAAAGTTCGCGTTTAACATGTAAAATAATCGCACGTCTCAAATCTGTGCCAGGTTATATCTATCACCGAATTGAAAGAGATTAAGTGCAGATTTTAATTTACTTTATATTTGATATTTAGTTATACCTATATACCTAAAATTTCATGCTGAAAACTTTTGTTTAGAAGTCAAGCTACGGTTATCATAGTAAAATCTTGAGTTATTTACGAATTTCTGTTTTCTCAATGAGAAGACAGAAAATTCGTAAATAACTCAACATTTTGCTATGATAACCATAGTTTGACTTCTAAACAAAAGTTTTCAGCACGAAGTTTTAGGTATATGGGTATAACTAAATATTGAATATAAAGTAAATAAAATCTGCATTTAATCTCTTTCGATTCGGTGATCGACATAACCTGGCACAGATTTGAGAAGTGCAAAATAATCAATAAATTATATCATTTATATGAGCTTAATAGAAATTTATAATCATGTTCATTTATTATGTTTATTTAAATTATCCTCCTCCCCCATGCCTGAGCCTAAAATATCACGTTAAACTAATAATTAACTTTGAACGACCTTATTTTATTTTATTAATATTCTTAAATTTTACATTAGACCATATTCTATGACTAATTATTATAATAGTAATCTTGCGATTAATCTATCCTCTTTTAAACAGTAAAAATTGATGGTTTTAATCGGAAGCAGCTGCACAACATAGCCATAGCAGACCAAACTTAACAGTAAATAAATAATATATTCAATTACAGAATTATTTATTACTAGTCCAATATTTTATTAAAGCAATGTTAGAGGTGAAATACGCTATACATGCTGTAGAAATTAGTTTCAGCTGCGCCGAAAATATTTAGGCACCGATTTTTCGGCAAAAATAAAGCCGCAATCCAAAGCAAATGCCAAAATCAAAGATATATGTCATTATCTAAATTAATTACCGCAATTTGTTTTATAATAATTTATAAAATCGAATTATTTTAGTATTTAATAAATATACTTTTTTTTTGTTTTTATTACATCAATTAAAATCATCAATCGATGATATATCAATTATATTTTATTACTTTCGGCATTATATTAATTATACTTTATTAATTTCGGCACTATATCAATATTTATGGCATTAATCATGACTTTAGGCATTGGTCATAAGTTGTGACATTGGTCATAAATTGCGGCATTGATCATAAGTTGCGGCATTGATCATAAGTTGCGTCATGAATTTTAAATTTAGCATTGCCAATAATTTCTACGGAATGTATAGTAAACGCTTATTAAACAGGAGGAAACGTTAAAGTTACACAACTGATTTTTCACGCGGTGTGAAACACATATTTTACAATACTTGATCGGACTTGGTCAGTCAGCTAGTACATGTTACAAATATAATCCAACATCATTTTTTATTATAAAAAAATGATGTTGGATTATAATCGTAACATGTACTAGCTGACTGACCAAGTCCGATCAAGTATTGTAAAATAATTTTTTTATGTGTTTCACGCCGCGTGAAAAATCAGTTGTGTAACTTCAACGTTTCCTCCTGTTCGCTTATTATAGAATTTAATTCTAAATTTTTGGGTAATATGAATTCGATGTTGATGTTTTGGTGGATAAATTTGGGTTTTTTGAGCATTGTTAATAAGCAAATGCAATTAATAATATATAATTATAAATAAAATAAATAAAATTGCATCTTTTATTGTAAGTTCTTACATGCATATTAATTATAGGTCCGTACTGTATAACATAACACAATAACTTCTTTATTAAATTTATGAGACAAAATTACGGAAATTAGTTAGGTTTAAAATATATTTTTAGATTTCGTTATGGCATAAATTGTGGTTTGCGGCTTTATTTCAACCGAAAAATCAATGTCTAAATTTCGGCACGGCCGTAACTTGTTTCTACAGCATGTATAGGTCATGCTATAATATGTTATTATATCTAATAATTAATTCTCACACATATTATAAAAAATTGTTAATACTTTAAAAGACGCATTAATAGGAATTCGGAGGTATAATTTTACTTCATATATTTACTCGTTCAAGAGTTATTTTATAAAAAAGGCAATAATGAGTTTACTATGATCTGCATTGCGTAAAATAAGTTACCATATCAAGGGCCGATAATTTTCCACAGTAATATTTATTTTAAAAATAAATAGATATCATCACAAAAAAATCTTTATTGAAGGTTAGCTCCTTATATGCTTATTCATTTATAAGCTAAAAATTGGTCGTTACTGTAAAATAAACGAATAAATAAAAACGATGCCAAATAAAAAATAAATTAACTAAATAAAAAAATGAATAATTAAACTGATAAATAAATTGCTAAAATAAAAAATTATAAAAAAATTGAAGTCGATAAATCGACAAAACTTTGAGCAAAGACGTTTTCTTTATTTTGATTCTATAGGTCTGTAGAATCAAAATAAAAAAAGCTCATCAAATTTGGTTAGGTGATTGCCAAGATATCTTATATTGTACTACGTCGAATCCGCAGTACTTCCGCAGGGGACCTTAGCTGCCGCGCAGCAGATTCTCGATTTTTATTGGTTAATAGCGACAATTAAAAATTTAGGCAGGAGTTCTCAAAGTTTTAATAGTGAAATTACAACCGCTAATTAAGTGAAAATTATTTCTGGGCTATTTTCCATAAATTTTATTTTTGGGATAAAAAAATAAAAAGTTAATTCGGGCCAGATAATGGCCGTTAGCCAACCAAAATCGAGAATCTGCCGCGACAAGACAGCTAGGGTTAATATAATATGCCTTTCACAATACATAAATTCAAATGAAAATTTTACAGAGTAATACACACATCTAAATAGAATCAAAGGTCTTCGAACGTAAAATGTCTTATAAATACAGCCTGATACGATAGGGGCATGCGCATAGCGCATATTATGAAATGAGCATGTGAGAGTAAAAACCTGCAGTTACATATAATGATTTACTATGATAAGTTACAAGGTTTTCACTCTCACGCACTCAATTATAAAATTTTTTGACCAAAATCTTTTCCGCTTTAGTAAATAAGGAAATGTGGCGGATCACGAGGAAAAGTGCAATCAATAAGAAAAGAGACCCGTATTCAACTAAACCTTGCATAATTAGACCGATATGTATGAGTCACCTAATTACTGCGTGCACGTACTGTACGTACGTACGTACTTAACGATTATTAATCATCAGCAAATTATATAAATAGATGATAAAGCGTATAGACCAAAAAATAAAATTTATCAAACTATCCATTGCTTTAAACATCTCTTTAGAAAATGGCTATTTACAACAATATTCCTGCTTTTAAATTTACTGACTGCCTTATTCTGACCGCTTTTTCTTTTTTGGCATACGTCTTTCTATTCTATTATAAATATTTTACGCGTCCTAATAAGTTACCTGGACCATTACCTCTTCCCTTTATTGAATGTAACTATCTGTTTAAAGGTGATTCTAAACAACTAGTAACGTCACTTCATAAAAAAT